GGCGGGCGCGGACCTTGCCCAGGGTCCGCTGATCCGCGGGCGGGCGGTCGATCGCGCGGGCGCGGCACCTGCGGGCAGGAGCGTCTGGCTGCCGTAGCGCCGGACAGCCCGTCCCCCAGCTGCTGCTGAGATGAGTGCAGGTGAGTGTGGGGACCGAGGGACCGGCGCGTCCCCGAGCTGGATCGCGGCGCAGCAAGGGCTGTGGAGGCATTCTGGGGCTGCACCTGCTGCACAGGGGAAATCACCCAGTGCTCCACCCAACTTTTACCCCCAGGGTCTTGCAAACCCTAGGGCCTGTCAGCAGCCCTCTGCCCCTGCGCCCGGGGCGCGTGCAGCTCCGTAGAGCGGTCTGGGGACCCCATTCCCCCCGCGCTGGCCAGGGTGTCGGCGCCGGGCTGTCTGGAAGGCGCCACTTTTTTGCTTCTCACGGGTCCCAGGTCGCTGCAGGTTGCAGAAGGCGACCGGTACGGGCGAGGGGCGCAGGGCCTCTGCAGACCCTGCTATAGAGAGGTGTGATCACACCGGGGGCTTTGCGGCAGGGGGCGCCGCCCTTGCGCGGCGCTCCCTCCGCCTGAGCGGGGGGGGGGGGGTTGTCAGGCCGACCCCCAGCGCCCTGGGCTCGCCCGCTGCAGATTTGGGGGTGCAGAGCCCGCAGGTGTGTGCGGCCCGCCCCATTTCCCTCCAGTCAGCATCTCTCCGGCGCCCCCTGCGCATCCCCACTGCTGCCTCCCGCCGCGCCCACGGGATCTGACAGCCTCTGTGCCGGCCCTGGAAAATCCCACATCGTCACAAGCCAGCCGGGCCTATTGCGCTTGGGGAAACTGAGACCAACAGCAGGGAGACCTTGGCATGAAGAGTCTGATGCGAGGAGCCCGGTTTTGAGAGTCTCCTGTGGCCCGCACTGAGCTGAGCTGAGAGGGTTGGTCTGTACATTCCCTGGCAGGGAGGGGCCGTCACCCCATTTTCCAGGGTGCGCCCAAGGCTCACCAGGCTTGAGTCACTTGCTCAGCTCACAAAGCGGGGTGGGGATTCGAACCGGGTGCTCCCTGACTCCTGTGATCTTTCCTCTGAGCCTGTTTGGCCACAGACTGCAGTATGGCCCTTGGCCATGGTGCAGAAAAAAGCCTGGACAAGCTGGGGGAAAATCAGACTGGCCGAGGGGCGGGGGGTAGTGTGCATTTGGTGAGTGCTTGCTCCCTGCTGTCGGTTTAGGAGGGCTGTTTCCAGGGACCCACCTCGCAGGGGAAATCGTCTCCTCCCCCTCCAACCCAGGAAGGAGGGACCACACTGGCAGTGGGCGTTGAGAGAGTGGCTGAGAGCAAATGGCAGGCATCGAGAGACAGAATTCTCTAGAAGAGGATTTCTGAAATGTCCAGCCTGTTATCTGGAGGTGGCTGGGGAGCAGGGGACCCTGAGACTGGCAGAATCTCCAGACACGTTTATCTAATGGCAGGTGGGGATAATGGCAGGGTGCACACAGGGTAATTCTAGGCTTTCTGGGATCATAATTGTTACCTCCGGTCCCCCCTGTAATCAGGAGGAGCCCTGGAAGGAGCACTGGCATTTGTGGTCGTCCTGGGAGAAGGGCTGTGTGGGCACTGGGGGCTGTGGGGGGGGTCATGATTCGAACAAGCAAGGGGCCTGGGGTTTGACTCATACGTCTGCTTGGTGGCAAATTGTGATCTTGGCAAATGGTGGCACCTTCCCGAGTTCAGCTTCCTGAGGTATGAAAGCAGCACTGTGCCTTGCCTGGAGAGGACGAGATTCGAGTGGGAAACTGCACACATAGTAGGTCCTCAGTGGCTTGTGATGGTCACTGCCGGAGGGTCACGCTCCCCTCAGCCTCCCTGTGTTAGCTCAGTCTTTCGGAACTGCCGGAGAGTCTGCTGCGCATCTGCCTGTGGCTCATGCCCCAGATGTGTCCCCAGGCCACCCTGCAGTGGGGGAGAGCGTGGTCCCTGTGCCTGACACCTGGCTCTCTCGTCTGGCCATTGTGCACATCCTTGGAGACGGCTCGGGTGTGGCCTCTGGGCCCCATATACGTGCCTACTTGTTTTGTGGCTCGTTGATGTTGGGTGGCTGGGGGAACTGTCAGAGGGCGTTCTGTGTCAGGGCTGGATCCAAATCCAGTGCACTCACTATGGGTTCCCTGTGCCTCAGTTTCCCCACTGTATGGAGGGAATGCCCTTAGCTCTGCCTGCAGTCCCGGCCCACGTGTATGGGGCCCAGTAGATGAGGCCTGTGGCGGTGACCTCATAACGTGGCAGCCTCTGGAGTCACGATGGGCAAGGTGGGGCGGAGGAGGGGACCTGAGCTGGGAGGGGCTCCAGGGCCAGCCCTGCCCCTGATGGGTGCCAGGTCCTGGAAGTCCAAGTTCAAGGTGTGGCCTTCCTCCTTGACTTGTAGATGGCTGTCTTCTCTCTATGTCCACAGTGGCTCCTGTGGAACAGAAAGGTCTGGGCCTCCCACCGAGTCATGGACTTTCCACGAGCCCTCCTTAGACCTGGCAGCAATGCTTCCTCATTTTCACTGGATTTTTAATTGCAAGAGAGAAGCACGTACCTTATGTACCTGTCTGTGTCCAAATTTCCTCTTCTTGTAAGGACACCAGTCATATTGGATTAGGACCACCTGCCTGGCCTCATTTTACCTTAATTACTCTGTAAAGTCCCCCTCTCCAAATACAGTCACATTCTGAGGTCCTAGCGGTTAGGACTTCAGCATGTGAATTTAGAGGGGGGCATGATTCAGCCCACAATGGGGGCAGGGCCAGGTGGAGAGCCTGGGGGCCTGGCTCAGCTGTCTTGTGGTCACAGCTGCCCGGTTAGGATCCCAGAGCTGGAAGGGACCTAGAGGATACTGCCGTCCAAACCCACTGACATGCACAGAGGGGAAACCGAGGCCCAGGGAAGGAAAAATAACTGTCCAGGGTCAAGGAGAGAGTGTGACAGAGCCGGGACCTGAGCCCCAGTCCCCTACTCTGGTTGGCACAGCCCTGGGTCTCTGGAACAGGACACATCTCTTCACCTAACCCAAGGGTGGACAAGGACGTCGCCGCAAAGATGTTCACGTCAATATGACAAATGTGGGGGGGGGTGACGGATATCAGCCAGCAGGGCTGTCCCTCATTCAGTGGCCAAGGGCTTTCTACCCGCGCACCATGAGCCCAGCGGGAACAGACTCAGCCCACATCCTGCCGAAGCTTCTCAGGGTCAGGGCAGTGGGGGGCGCATTCTAGCCAACAGTGTGCGAGGAGATTCTAATGTGAGGAGCGATGCTCAAGCAAACCAGCTTCTCTCCGAAAACAGCGGACGGCAGAATCGTACGTCCTGTGTGATCTCGAGTCTGCTAGTGCAGTAAAGGAGGAAAATCTGGAAGGACACACATCCAGATGTCAGTAGTGTCTCCCTCTCTAGCGGAAAGAGGAGAAAGAGGTTTTTCCCACATCTGCATCTTTATCCTTTCTGCGACTTTCCCGAATTTTCTTCGTGGAGCGTGCTTCTCTCTTGCAATTAAAAATCCAGTGAAAATGAGGAAGCATTGCTGCCAGGTCTAAGGAGGGCTCGTGGAAAGTCCATGACTCGGTGGGAGGCCCAGACCTTTCTGTTCCGCAGGGGCCACTGTCCTTTGGCTCGGGAGCTTCCCACAGGCAGGGGACTGGTGCCCGGTTCCCCTGCGTGACTCCATCTGAATCAGATGCAGCAGAAGACAAATCATCCTGACCCAGAAATTCATCTGAAATTGCATCGGAAAAGGACAGTTGTTGCCCAAGACCCAGCTGGCGCTCCCTGGCTCAGCATGGGCATCCCTGAGCTCGGATCTGTTTCCTCTGAGGTTCAGGGTTACTCCCTAACCCGCCACCCAAGACCCTTTGATTCTTTACGGTTTCTGTCAATGAGGTAGTTTGGGGGTAGATGGCTTATTTTCTGGAATCAAGCTCTGACTTTGATGAACTCTTGGCGAGTCCAGTCTTACTGTCCCAGAAAAGGGAGCGTGACCTTCACTCATGGAGAAGTCACCTGTCTGATGCGCTGACCCTCCAAAGCGTCCTCTGGAGCGTGGGAGAGCCGCGAGCTGGCCAGAGAAGATGGGCACATCCGGGTAATGAGAGGAGAGGGTGGGAAGGGGTCCAGCCGGTGGGGTCTGTCCTGGCACTGGCCACGGTTGCTGACGGCAGCAGCTTCCAGGATGCGGGCCCCTCCTCTGCCCCGACCTGGGGGCTTCCTCGCACCCCTTGCTCTGCACCTGCCTTGGCAGGACGTGGTAAGGCCTCCCCTGAATCGGGTCTGTTGAGCTCATTCCGGCTCTGCCCCCTGCTAGCATTCTTGATCATCGAACCTCTCTGTGTTTCTGAGGCTGCCCGCCCCCGGGGTCTCCGTAGGGACCGAGGGTGCAGGTCCTGACATGTGGGAGAGGCTTGCAAAAGCAGAGTAGTTGCAACAGGAGCGCACGGATGGTGCTCAGGTAGCAGCCCATTTTTGGAAGACGATCCCGTTTCGAGCTGCTGAGGGGACCAGCCAGATGCGGGCCAGCCCAGACGGGCTGCAAACAGCGGTCCTCGAGGCTGCGAGGACGCAGCACACGGCAACCTGAGCGGAGCGTCTTTGTTTACTTGGGGATGTTTCCATCCCCGAGGTCTCTAGGGTGTCGGGCTGCACCCTACTTCAGTGTCACGGCAGTCACGGCTCAGGGGATGCTCCCTCAGGGCCCCACGCCTGGCCTGATGCTCCTGAACCCTCACAGCACTTCATAGGGCTGCTGGGGTGTCCCCACTCGCGGGCGGGGAAGCAGATGCCCAGAAGGGGCTGTCCGTTGCCTGGCAGCATGCCACACCACCTGTGAACAGCAGAGCTGGACTTGAACCCCGGTGTGCCCAGACGCTCATCTTCCCAGCCGGGTGGCTTCCGTTGGTCTGCCCCCACCCCGCCCCCTCCATGCCCGCATGAGCCGGCTTCTGTGGGCGATTCACGGCCCCTCATAGTGTGGGGCTGAGTGGGATGGATAAGGCTTGACCATTTGGGACATCATGGTAATGCTTTGTAGATGGCCGTCTTCTCTCTATGTCCACAGGGTTTTCCCCGCTGCCTGGGCCGTGAAGCATATTTGCATCTTCCCAGTGTGGCACCTGCCTGCACAGAGC